CTGGGATATCCGGAATGGAGGTCGGACGGAAAAAAGATGGTGGAAGCGGATGATGATGTGGATTCTGAATCTAATGGTGGTAGAATCAAGGAGAATTTGAATATTGTCCAAAAGAATGGAAAACGGAGCAAAGTAGAGTACAGTGATGAGAATGTCTCTTAGTATCTTGTAGGAGTACGGTTTGTAAATGAGGAGCAGCTGATCGAATTACCAATCTTGAGGAATCCATTTGAGATATCCAAACTGGTGGAGAGAGTGCTGGGTAGAGTGAAGGCTGTGAGGATCACGAGAGGCGGGCTGGTTTAGATTTTTTGTGCTTCTGAGGATCAAAAGAAAAGTGTGTTGCGTCTCACCCGATTTGATAAGTTTGAAGTGTCGTGTGTGTCTCTTAGGAACAGGGCACCCCTCAAGGGGGTTATATCTGGAGTCTCGTGGGAAGTAGATGTTGAAGAGATGAAAAATATTCCTGGAGTGATTGATGCACGTCGGTGAATGAAGAAAAAGTGAAGAGTCTATCTGTTCTTTTGTTTTTTGATATGGAGTCTCTCCCTACTCAAGTGCAGTTGGGGTTTATAAACTACAGAGTCAGAGCATTTATACCAAGACCAATGCAGTGTGATCATTGTAAAGCTTTTGGACATGTTTCAAGTGTTTGCAGAAGGGAGAAGCCGAGATGACCAAATCATATGTGTTATAAAAGTGATGAAAATGTGACATGTTGCAATTGTGGTGGGAACCATGAAGCATTTTACATTTTTTTACATTTAGTCATTTTAGCAGACGCTCTTATCCAGAGCGACTTACAGTTAGTGAATACATTTTTTTTTTTATACTGGCCCCCCGTGGGAAACGAACCACAACCCTGGGCGTTGCAAACGCCATGCTCTATCAACTGAGCTACATCCCTGCCGGCCATTCCCTCCCCTACCCTGGACGACGCTGGGCCAATTGTGCGCCGCCCATCACCCTTGTGGGGCATTTGAAGCCATGTCTTTCAAATGCCCCACAAGGGTGAAAGAGAATGAGGTGGCCAAAGTCAGGGCTATCCAGAGCATATCATATGCAGCAGCTGTTAAAAGGGTTGGGGGTTTGAATGGTGCACTTGAAGAGTCCATGGTGGTGGATAGGCCTTCACTGCATACTGCAGCGGTTGCCTTTCACCAGCAGGATCCTGACATTTTAAAGGTTAAGAAGGTGGACTTCGTGGCCTTTATAGCTATGGTGATAAATAGCACTGCCAAGGTGGAGAGAAGGTCCAGGAAGATAGAAATCATTGTGGAAGCGGCGGAGCGGTTCCTGGGGCTGAAAGATTTATCGGTGAAAGAGTTACATGGAATATTGTCACAAGCCATACCACCCTCTCAGGCCCTAGAGCCTGAGAAGGGAGACAGGGAGAACTGAAAGAAGGAAGAAGTGGGAGTTTTCTTTTGTTTTATCAATGTACTGTTTTTATTTGTGTGGATTAAGTTAGTTTCCCTATCAAGTATGGATTTAATTTTTACCCGTCCAGTTGGTGTTGGCAATACACCTTTTTGGGTTGTAGTCCACCATAAATCCCACAGAAGAAGAAGAAGAAGAACTGGGAAATCTCCGACCTCAGTGTGTTCCAGACAACTGGGAACTCTGAAAAAACGAGCTTCAACTGGGAAAATCTATTTGAACGGTCATCCAATTCGGAATTCTAACTTGGGCCTCTTTCTAGAGCTCCGACTTTGAAGATCACTGACATCATGATTTGACCCTGTATTTTTCCAAGTTCCCAGTTGTTTTGAACGCGGCATAATGTACTGATATTATGTAGACGTCAACTAGAAGGAAATAGGGGAGAAAGAGAGTGCGCTTGTTTGAAATGGAAAAGCGTTGCAGTAGCTATTGATGAGGAAGAACATCAAGATGAACCAGTTGATTTACAAGTGGGATGCACTGTTGAGCTCTACATCCCGAGGGGTTCGTGCTGATTGTATGGAGATTGTGACAACCGATTAAATGGTGTCCCTTGACAAGGCAAGAACAAGATGTGTGTCAGGAGAAGTGCAGTATTATCATAAGGAGAGTTATACGTGGAATACGGAGGAGGAATGGAGGGAAAAAGAGAGGCAGAGGAGGTCTAAGAGAGAGAGGGAGGAAGAGGGTGAACTTGAGTCGGTTAAAAATGGAGGAAAAAAGGGAGATGGTTTGTTAAAGAAGAATGGTAGAAAGTGTAAGCAGGAGGAGAAATGGAGGTGAATGAGGTCGAAGTATCGGAGGTGGTAGGTGTGGTGAAGTTCTCGGAGCCCGAGGCTTGCACCGAGGGTCAGGATAAAGATGAGTCTGACAGTAGGAGTGAAGTTTTTGGAAAAAGTGGACCCTTGCCTTTTGGCTGATCCATTTGTGGTTTCAGGGTGGGTGAAAACAGAGTTGGGTGCTGTGGAATCGGTGAGGGTAACCAGAAGTGGTCTTGTGATAATTGTTTGTGTTTCTGCTGGTCAGAGGGAGCAGGCGCGCTGTGTTAAACAAATGGGGGCAAGAGATGTGAATTGTTTTGCTCTCAAGAAAAGGGCACTATCGAAAGGAGTTATTACTGGGGTAGCGGTAAATGTGAAAGCTGACCAACTGAAGGGGAAGATTCCCGGTGTTTATGATGCTTGTCGTTTGGTGCGACGCAGACAGGGTGGTGTGAGTGGTGAAACAGAAGAGTCATTGTCTGTTCTTTTGAGTTTTGATGTTGAGTCTTTGCCCGACAAAGTGATGTTAGGATATATAAGTTATCCTGTATGAGCTTTTGTGCCGAATACATTACGTTGTTACAGGTGTCAAGCTTATGGGCATGTGGCAGCAGTGTGTAGGAGGGAGGTTCCTAGGTATGAGAAGTGTGCAGAAGGACATGAGACAAAGGAATGTGTAGCATTGTGGAAAGTAGTGGTATGTGTTAATTGCATGGGTGCCCATGGGGCTGGGGATCAGAAATGTCCCATGCGAGAGGCAGGTTGAGGTTTCCAGGGTTAGAGTAGTGCAGAAGTTGTCATATGCTGAGGCAGTGAAGAAAGTAGAGGGAGATGGGTCAAGGGAGAGGAATCCTGAGAGGAGTGGTGTGAGTAGTAGATCCGTACCAGTACAGAGGGATAAACCAACAAGTGATATATGTTTCAGTAAGATTGGATTTTTGTCATTTATAGCAATGGTTATCAACTGTACTGCAGGGATGGGACGTAAGTCGCAGAAAATAGAGATTGTGGTGGCAGCTGCAGAGAGGTATTTGGGTGTGCGAGACTTCACATCAGAATAGTTACAGAGTGTGTTAAGTGGCGGTGTCCCATCTTTTCAGGCTTTTGGCCTGAAGTAGGACTAGTATCCCTTCTTTCTTTTCTCTCCAAAACTCTTGAGCGTGTCGTCTTTAGCCAACTCTCTTGCTATCTCTCTCAGAATGACCTTCTTGATCCAAACCAGTCAGGTTTCAAGACTGGTCATTCAACTGAGACTGCTCTTCTCTGTGTCACGGAGGCTCTCCGCACTGCTAAAGCTAACTCTCTCTCCTCTGCTCTTGTCCTTCTAGACCTGTCTGCTGCCTTTGATACTGTGAACCATCAGATCCTCCTCTCCACCCTCTCCGAGCTGGGCATCTCCGGTGCGGCTCACTCTTGGATTGCGTCCTACCTGACCGGTCGCTCCTACCAAGTGGCGTGGCGAGAAGCTGTCTCCGCACCACGTGCTCTCACCACTGGTGTCCCCCAGGGCTCAGTTCTAGGCCCTCTCCTATTCTCGCTATACACCAAGTCACTTGGCTCTGTCATATCCTCACATGGCCTCTCCTATCATTGCTACGCAGACGACATACAACTAATCTTCTCCTTTCCCCCTTCTGATAACCAGGTGGCGAATCGCATCTCTGCATGTCTGGCAGACATATCAGTATGGATGACGGATCACCACCTCAAGCTGAACCTTGGCAAGACGGAGCTGCTCTTCCTCCCGGGGAAGGACTGCCCGTTCCATGATCTCGCCATCACGGTTGACAACTCCGTTGTGTCCTCCTCCCAGAGTGCGAAGAGCCTTGGCGTGACCCTGGACAACACCCTGTCGTTCTCCGCTAACATCAAGGCGGTGACCCGATCCTGTAGGTTCATGCTCTACAACATTCGGAGAGTACGACCCTGCCTTACACAGGAAGCGGCACAGGTCCTAATCCAGGCACTTGTCATCTCCCGTCTGGATTACTGCAACTCGCTGTTGGCTGGGCTCCCTGCCTGTGCCATTAAACCCCAACAACTCATCCAGAATGCCGCAGCCCGTCTGGTGTTCAACCTTCCCAAGTTCTCTCACGTCACCCCGCTCCTCCGCACACTCCACTGGCTTCCAGTTGAAGCTCGCATCTGCTACAAGACCATGGTGCTTGCCTACGGAGCTGTGAGGGGAACGGCACCTCCGTACCTTCAGGCTCTGATCAGTCCCTACACCCAAACGAGGGCATTGCGTTCATCCACCTCTGGCCTGCTGGCTCCCCTACCTCTGCGGAAGCACAGTTCCCGCTCAGCCCAGTCAAAACTGTTCGCTGCTCTGGCACCCCAATGGTGGAACAAGCTCCCTCACGACGCCAGGACAGCGGAGTCACTCACCACCTTCCGGAGACATTTGAAACCCCACCTCTTTAAGGAATACCTGGGATAGGATAAAGTAATCCTTCTACCCCCCCCTTAACCCACCCCACCAAAAAAAATATAAACATTGTAAAGTGGTTATCCCACTGGCTATAAGGTGAATGCACCAATTTGTAAGTCGCTCTGGATAAGAGCGTCTGCTAAATGACGTAAATGTAAATAGATTTAAATAGTGGAGTATGGTATTTATTATTATGTTTTGTGAGTGTTAGATGGTAGGGTATTATTATTATTATTAATTATTATTATTTTTAAAGCAAAGTATAAGGGAGTTATACTCCAGTCTTGTAGGTGGTGGTAATGTAACATTTATTGGATGCCAACCAGCCGTTAAACCTCATCGAAGAAGTAGAAGAAAAAAAATACCGCTACTCTCGCGATGTCTCGTATCAACGCGTTCACTTGCCGTGACGTAAATCGAATATTGTCGGTGCACAGCTGGCAGGCTTGGCAGCCTTCTCCACACCGTTTACATAGAAACAACAACATGACAAGTGAGTATATAGCTATATTTTTATTTACTATGTATTAGCTACTAAACTAAAGTTGTTTGTTGGTAGCTAAGCTAGTTACGCATCTCGCTTTGCTGTTTCAAGCAATGAAATCAGAGACCATCAATGCTAGGTAGCTAACGTTAGCTAGCTATGTTTGAACTGGATAAGTAAAAAAGAAAAAAAAAAGCTAGCTAACTAGAAAGTATAGTGCAACATGGCTTTCTGTTACCATACACGAATTTGTTTTAGTGCCATAAAATGTATACCCTTTTCCATTGTTAACTGGTAAGGATCTGATTTGTAGTTAGCTCGCTAACTAGCTACGTTAACTGACGTTAACTGACTAGGCCCGTGAAGTGCCACGCACAATAACAAACCCTGCTAAGCAGTGGCCTAGCGTTATGCTCCCTCTCTCCCGAACGTACATTATAGATTAAACCATTATTTTCGTTTTCACTAACTATTAGGTACACTGTTGTAATTATCTAGCCCGTTCAGTTACCAAACTATCAATACAGGGGCTGGTTTTAATTGAGTGTTTTAAAATTAAGACATTACATTTTTGTCATTTAGCAGACGCTCTTATCCAGAGCGACTTACAGTTAGTGAGTGCATACATTTATTTTATTTTAATTTTATACTGGAATCGAACCCACAACCCTGGCGTTGCAAATGCCATGCTCTACCAACTGAGCTACATCCCATTAGCAATGACTTTGCAACAGTCCCTCACCTGGGTCTTTCAAATCGATTTCTTTGCAGGGGGGAATCAGCGTGACCTTGCTCGTGCTAGAAATGCCAAAAAGCAAGGGAATGACAAGGGAAAGAAGGCTGATGATGGCATGTCTGCAGCTGCGAGGAAGCTGAGGTAAGTTATTCGTTTTGGCTTTTAGGAAGTTCTCCTGGTACACAGGTGAGAATCTTTCACTGAAACCAGGACCAATTTTTTTTTACATGCATTTCTTTTTTATTGAACAGATTGTATTTGGTTTGACTATTTTGTTTGTCTTCCTTAGGGATGCAGAGATAATGCAACAGAAGCAGAAAAAAGCCAATGACCCTAAGCCGGCCGATGAGAAAGCCAAATAGCAGCAAGATCCAGAGCTCAATCACGACTATTCTCAGATACCAAGATGTTACCCATTATTGAAAGATGACCAGTTCTCTTTTTGTCCCCATAATCTGGGGTTCAGAACCAGTTTGTAATATTTTGTGGTGGAGGTTGTACTGTATAGTTTGGGAAATGAATGGTTTTGAATAAGGACTAATGCGTAAGCCTATTTCAATACACAGGTCTAATGTTAATCAGTATTTACAATGTAAAGAGCAGGAATTTCAAACTCCACTACTTGGAATTACAAAACAATATTGTATTTTTGTATTCCCTCATCTAGATTAAGTAACTCAACTAGTGGTTGTTTATGGTTTATATACCATGTTTATTGCTTTTATATTGAGGATGGGCATATGCAGTGCTGTAAGATTAATCAAATAAACAAATGAAAGATTCAATCAAACAAATCACACACCTCTGTACAGAAAGTTTATTCAATTAAAACATTAGCTGATAAATACTGTAAGCACCTCATTGTAAAATGTGATAATTTCTGCATGTTTCTAACCACAGCATTAGCAATGTAGTTTCGACTGAGCTAGCACAACTTCAACTGTGCCTTTCTGAATACAGTAAATTCCTGATGTGTACAACAGGTAAGTGCTGACTATTTAGGTGCAGTACACAAATCCCATTCATTAAACATCTCTGGAGATCTACAGTGGGGAGAACAAGTATTTGATACACTGCCGATGTTGCAGGTTTTCCTACTTACAAAGCATGTAGAAGTCTGTCATTTTTATCATAGGTACACTTCAACTGTGAGAGACGGAATCTAAAACAAAAATCCAGAAAGTCACGTATGATTTTTAAGTAATTCATTTGCATTTTATTGCATGACATGTATTTGATACATCAGCAAAGCAGATCTTAATATTTGGTACAGAAACCTTGGTTTGCAATTACAGAGATCATACGTTTCCTATAGGTCTTGACCAGGTTTGCACACACTGCAGCAGGGATATTGGCCCACTCCTCCATACAGACCTTCTCCAGATCCTTCAGGTTTCGGGGATGTCGCTGGGCAATACGGACTTTCAGCTCCCTCCAAAGATTTTCTATTGGGTTCAGGTCTGGAGACTGGCTAGGCCACTCCAGGACCTTGAGATGCTTCTTACGGAGCCACTCCTTAGTTGCCCTGGCTGTGTGTTTCGGGTCGTTGTCATTCTGGAAGAACCAGCCATGACCCATCTTCAATGCTCTTACTGAGGGAAGGTTGTTGTTGGCCAAGATCTCGCAATACATGGCCCCATCCATCCTCCCCTCAATACAGTGCAGTCATCCTGTCCCCTTTGCAGAAAAGCATCCCCAAAGAATGATGTTTCCACCTCCATGCTTCACAGTTGGGATGGTGTTCTTGAGGTTGTACTCATCCTTCTTCTTCCTCCAAACACCGCGAGTGGAGTTTAGACCAAAAAGCTATATTTTTGTCTCATTAGACCACATGACCTTCTCCCATTCCTCCTCTGGATCATCCAGATGGTCATTGGCAAACTTCAGATGGGCCTGGACATGCGCTGGCTTGAGCAGGGGGACCTTGCGTGCGCTGCAGGATTTTAATCCATGACGGCGTAGTGTGTTACTAATGGTTTTCTTTGAGACTGTGGTCCCAGCTCTCTTCAGGTCATTGACCAGGTCCTGCCGTGTAGTTCTGGGCTGATCCCTCACCTTCCTCATGATCATTGATGCCCCACAAGGTGAGATCTTGCATGGAGCCCCAGACAGAGGGTGATTGACCGTCATCTTGAACTTCTTCCATTTTCTAATAATTGCGCCAACAGTTGTTGCCTTCTCACCAAGCTGCTTGCCTATTGTCCTGTAGCCCATCCCAGCCTTGTGCAGGTCTACAATTTTATCCCTGATGTCCTTACACAGCTCTCTGGTCTTGGCCATTGTGGAGAGGTTGGAGTCTGTTTGATTGAGTGTGTGGACAGGTGTCTTTTATACAGGTAACGAGTTCAAACAGGTGCAGTTAATACAGGTAATGAGTGGAGAACAGGAGGGCTTCTTAAAGAAAAACTAACAGGTCCGTGAGAGCTGGAATTCTTACTGGTTGGTAGGCGATCAAATACTTATGTCATGCAATAAAATGCAAATTAATTACTTAAAAATCATACAATGTGATTTTCAGGATTTTTGTTTTAGATTCTGTCTCTCACAGTTGAAGTGTACCTATGATAAAAATTACAGACCTCTACATGCTTTGTAAGTAGGAAAACCTGCAAAAATCAGCAGTGAATCAAATACTTGTTCTCCCCACTGTATATGCTCCAGATCAGTTTTGTGCCACCTGTTCAGGACCATTGCATTTCAGGAGTTGACTATTGCTAAAGATTGGTCAATTACTTAGATTAAACTTAAAAAATATGAATTAGATATCTACAGTTTTGCTAACTTTACAGTAATCTCAGATTTCTTATACGTATTTAGCTACTATTTACAGAGAGCAGAAATACTACACAAAACAGCTCTGCATCACAAAATAAGTTCTCAATCACAAAAGCTGTGGTGCTAAAATAGAGCCCCCATCCTCCCTAGTCTCCAGTCAGATGCATTCCATTGTGTGAAGTGATGGGCCTCCATGGTTATACTCTGCAGCAGTTGGTCAGAGCTTTCTTTGAACTGCTTAAACTCAACTTCACCTGTGACTCTGATTGCCGTCTCAGTTTCACACTTTTCTTAACTCCTCTGTTAGGAAAAAATGGTAAGAGCTCAGTTATAGTTTAGGTATTCGTGGTAGGGAAGTGTAGGGGTTGGATGGGAAGGGGCTTTAAGATTCTTACCTTGCCAGGTGAAGTACTGCCTCCACTACATTAGTTCCCTCTTTGGCACTAGTTTCACAGAACAGGGCATTGTATGTCTGAAACACATGGTAATATTGTGATTCATATTTATTTTATGGACCCATGAACATCTTGTTATTTTGACTGCTAAAAAGAGGTTGTACCCTAGCCAGCCTTTCCCCATCAACAGTGCTGACACAGCTTCCTTCTGGTCGGTCTTCCCGCAGGTCCACTTTATTCCCAATTACACACATTGGGAGGTGCTCATCCGTGGATTCCTGGGATAACAAGGGCAGTTTGTTCTTCAGTAAGTTCCTGATTTATGCGTAATCATAATTGTTCCTTTATATTGTATATAACTGAAAATACCATTATGGCCTCAAACTGAAATATAGTAACACATTTAAAAATCTGCCTGTAATAAAAGACACCTGTTATTTTGGCATCCCATTCCAAGTTGTTTTTTTAATCACGAGGACCATAAAACCCCTCCACTGGGACTGCTACCTGAATCTGGTCCATCCACTCTCTGACATTAAGGAAGCTGCTCTCAGAAGTGACATCATACAGCAGTAAGACTCCATGAGCTTTACGGAAGTAAGACCTGGCAATACTGCGGAACCTACAGTAACAGGGAAATCCCATTTATCTTTTGATATTACATGATCATTTGGAATCTGTAACAGCCACATCACCAAAGACACATTATGGGACAACTATTTATTTTTATTTATTTGTATTTGCTTTTACTATGTCAATGTACAGAAACATACCTCTCTTGTCCAGCAGTATCCCATATCTGGAGGTTCGTTTTTTCTCCGTCCACCAACATCTTCTTGATTTGGAAATCAACTCCTACGAACAACATGTAATGGAAATAGCAATGCACTTTCTGCATTTATTCTACCACTATCAAAAACTGTTACTGTACATGTACTTACCCAACGTTGTCTGAATATCTCCCCTGAACTCATTGAGACTCAACCTCAACAGAAAGCTGGACTTCCCTGATCCTGCATCTCCTGCCAAAACTAACCGGTACATGGGACCAGGGCACTCAGGGCCACCAGTGTCAACAAGGTCTGCTTCTGTTTGCTGAGGACCAAGTAGCATTAGTTAGTTATGGAAAATAATACAGATACCATATGTCAGCAGCATATACCAATTCCACATAAGCCTCCATACACAAATGTCTTACTGTGCTTCAAAACTGAGCATCTCAGCTCATAGCCTTACCTTTATTGGGAAAGCAGACAAGCGTCTCCGGATGGACGAAGCAATGGAGCTAGCTTTGCTGGGAGCTACAGACAGTGTTGCCTGACTTGCTTCCAATTTCACATCTGATATCTGGTGCAGAAATAGGTACATTCATGTATTAGAATGTGAAACATACTAATAAAATAGTAGTTGGTCAAACCTTGCAGTTACCCTTACCTCGATGTCTGAGGGCTCATATGAATAACTATGGTGTACTGTTTCTGCAGAGTCATCACTGTCAGACTCGCTGCCTGAGCTTTCAGTAGTGTCCATAGGCAAGGACACACCGCTGTCCAGGTATGCATCAGCCCAGCTGGCTACATGGGAGTTGGTCGTTTTACTGGAGCCTACAGTTGTGTGCTCTCCCTCTGAACTGGACTCAACATAGGGATGAAAAAATTAAAACATTAGTTAAGTGGTCAATTAATATTATTAATCAATAGGTCCAGATTTCTAGGATTAAAATATAGTATGTGTACTTTATAAGCGTGCTCTGTCGAACTGGCTTCATTCTTCGAGCTGGAATTTCATTGTTGGGGGATAGCTGTGGGGAGGAAGATTTGTTACACTTTGTAAACAAATAAACTAAAGCATTGTAGAGATGCCTTATAAATGTAAATATAAAGGGGTAATGTGAGTCTTCTTTATCTTGAGTGAAAACAACCAAGACTTACCCTCCTTTTACTTGATGCCACATCGTTGACTAAGGCAGAGCGCAAGCCATCATTGCTGTCATACAGCTTTTTGTTCATGGCCCTATAAGGAAGGAGTCAATGTAGAGACATATCAGATACTTTACTAATCTTTTAGCCTGCCACCATTAGAGTAGAGTCAGCATTCATGATAATGAGCATAAGGTGTGCATGCATGACTCAAAGCTATGCTTGACACATGCTTGACTACGATGCAACAAAAACAATCATCATGAAAGGCCATACTGTACTAACGAACAAATTGGGTCAGACAGACTTACTGGAGAATTTCAATGTGACTGGAGTAAGACTGGTATTCAATAACCATCTTTTTCAGTTCATCACTTTCTCTGTGAAAATAGACAAATACAACATTTGTTATCAACTAGTCTGTATTTACTGAGTTGGACTTGATCCATTGGACCTGAGCATGAAGTCGGTGATCTCACCTCTCATGCTGAAGTTTCTGGTCTGCATACATGTTCTTCAGCTTGTCCATCTCTACCTGCAGAATGGAGACGTTTGTCTGAGCTTTGAAGAGAGAAGTCCGTAACTGCTCATTTTCCTGAGGAGAGATCATGTAATATGTAGAACATTACTGGAAAGTGTACAGGAAATAATGTACAGTGCATTCGGAAAGTATTCAGACCCCTTTTTCCACATTTTGTTACGTTACAGCCTTATTTTAAAATTGATTAAATAAATACAAATCATCAATCTACACACAATACCCCATAATGACAAAGCGAAAAAATAGGTTTGTAGAAATGTTTGCTAATTTATTACAAATAAAAAAATGAATACCTTATTTACATAAGTATTCAGACTCTTTGCTATGAGACTCAAAATTGAGCTCAGGTGCTGTTTCCATTTATCATCCTTGAGATGTTACTATAACTTGATTGGAGTCCACCTGTGGTAAACTCAATTGATTGGACATGATTTGGAAAGGCACACACCTGTCTATATAAAAGGTCCCACAGTTGACAGTGCATGTCAGAGTAAAAACCAAGCCATGAGGTCGAAGGAATTGTCCATAGAGCTCCGAGACAGGATTGTGTCGAGGCACAGATCTGGGGAAGGGTACCAAAAATGTTCTGCAACATTGAAGGTCCCCAAGAACACAGTGGCCTCCATCATTCTTAAATGGAAAGAGTTTGGAACAACCAAGATTCTTCCTAGAGCTGGACACCCGGCCAAACTGAGCAATCGGGGGAGAAGGGCCTTGGTCAGGGAGGTGATCAAGAACCAGATGGTCACTCTGACAGAGCTCCAGAGTTCCTCTGTGGAGATGGGAGAACGTTCCAGAAGGACAACCATCTCTGCAGCACTCAACCAATCAGGCCTTTATGGTAGAGTGGCCAGACGGAAGCCACTCCTCAGTAAAAGGCACATGACAGCCCGCTTGGTGTTTGCCAAAAGGCACCTAAAGGACTCTCAGACCATGAGAAACAAGATTCTCTGGTCTGATGAAACCAAGATTGAACTCTTTGGCCTGAATGCCAAGAGTCACCTCTGGAGAAAACCTGGCACCAACCCCAGGTTGAAGCTTCGTGGTGGCAGCATCATGCTCTGGGGATGTTTTTCAGTGGCAGGGACTGGGAGACTAGTCAGGATCGAGGGAAAGATGAACGGATATCCTTGATGAAAACCTGCTCCAGAGCATTTAGGACCTCAGACTGGGGCGAAGGTTCACGTTCCAACAGGACAATGACCCTAAGCACACAGCCAAGACAATGCAGGAGTGGCTTCAGGACAAGTCACTGAATGTCCTTGACTGGCCCTGCCAGAGCCTGGACTTGAACCCGATCGAACATCTCTGGAGAGACCTGAAAATACCGGACAGAGCTTGAGAGGATCTGCAGAGAAGAATGGGAGAAACTCCCCAAATACAGGTGTGCCAAGCTTGTAGTGTCATACCCAAGAAGACTTGAGGCTATAATCGCTGTCAAAGGTGCTTCAACAAAGTACTGAGTAAGGGGTCTGAATACTTATGTAAATATTATATTTCAGTCTTATTTTTAATACATTTGCAAACATTTCTAAAAACCTGTTTTTGCTTTGTCATTATGGGATACTGTGTGTAGATTGAGGGAAAAAACAAAACAATTTAATCAATTTTAGAATAAGGCTGTAACATAACAAAATGTGGAAAAAGTCAAGGGGTCTGAATACTTTCCGAATGCACTGTAAATGGGACTTAAGATACAGTTATGTGTCTAACTGATCCAACGTACCTGAATCAGTTCACTTATTTGGTTATGTAGTTTGTCAACATCCTGCCTGGAACTGTTGAGTTCAGATTCCCCTTGGGACTACAATGAAAACATTTCAATTTATTTCAAATTAATCATAGATATGATTAAGCATCAACTGAAATCATATTCACATCCAAGACTGCCTGAATCTAGGTAAATAAAGTAGTGTTAACGGATAAGAGTGGCAATCCTTGGGAAACATTAAATAACCTTTCAACACCAACAATAATAGGTCAATAGGTGAAATAGGTCACAAAACCTGTTTCAAACGGATGACACCTACCTTTAACAACCTGTCCATAACAGTATGCAGGTCTGCCACCTCATTCTCATGCCTTCTCTGGAGTGCAGCCATGACTCCCTCCATTCTCTTTCGCTCCTACAGACAAGAAACCCAATGAGAGACAACTTTGCTCATTTGCACTGGACTAAAAGAGGGGCTTTCACAAAACTTTATAAAGGGGCCTTTGTGAGAGTTTGAGCTAGCTGCTCTCCCTTCTCTAAAAGTGAATTCCTCTACCACAAATATGCGGATAAACACCTGTGCCGAGGCAAGGAGGAATGCTGCAGGGAGGAGTGTCCCTGGCCTAGCCCCTCTTGAAATAAAAACAGTTTAATCTTCATTTCCAACAAACTATTTGCCCCAGTATAAGTCTATATTACTCAACTTTTTCTCATTCATTAAAAAAAAAACATTTCTAAGGTACGTTTTCAATGACACCAATGCCTTTTTAATGACTTAGCTTGCTTGTTATTTGCTTGTTTTGTTTATTTTTAGTTCTTAAATACTTGATGTTAGAATGATATATTTTTTTTTCTAGCACAATGTGTAGAATATACTGTAGTAAATAAGTCCTCATAATATGTCACTTACCTCTTCTCTCACCCTGTCCTCTACACAGGCAAGCTGCTGCTGCATGTCCTCCTCCAGCTCTGTCAACTGACTGGTGTTCAGCTCCTCTGTTCTGTCGGCACACAGAGGTACATACCATTTACACGTCGGCCCTGGATGTCCATCAAATGCAAAACAAATTCCCCAACACTAGTCCAGCAAAAGTGATGAGTCAGAATATAAGGTGAACAAATCAAAAATATGGTTTGCAAGCGATAACATCTTCAAACACAGCAGCAACACAGCACATATAACTACACCTTTTGGTTCCAATCATATCTGTTCCATATGTATCCATTGCCCATGTGTTTTCATATAGGGGTGTACTTTGAGCGGGCGGGGCACTATTCAGTTAAATGTGTTTTCTCATAATCAAGTGACAACACTTGGTCCAGCTAGTCAAGAGACATGGGAGGGCCCCTAGGAGGCAAATACCACAGGTTCACAAGACTGAGATTTGCAGTGTGAGATTGAACAAATCAAAATACAGCACGTCTTGCCACTGATTAGCAAATATTCTATATTCGTGTCAGAATTTTGGGTTTTACAGGCACATTAATTTGCGTTAGGATTAGGCCTAAATGGAAATCTAAAAAGGGACAAGAATAGCAACTCATTTAAAACTACTTCATTGGGTGAGAAATGTCATCCCTATCATGTAATGCAGCCTCTGAACCATGAAAGCAACTCCACCCCATCTAGGGTTACAATTCAGTAGCTGGAAACATGCAATTCTGTCTGATGATAATCACCTTACTGTGGGAAGCATACTGGCACAATCAATACTCACATTTGTAAATGTTAACTGATTAACAGCTCAGGCCTGATCTTGATTGAAACACTGTTACATGGATATCCCACAACATAAACACTACATATGTGTTTTTAGTAACACAAACAGGCAAATGTCAAAGTTAACTGATATGTAAATATGTTCCATTCGTGAAGATAACATAATTCAGACAATATACATTTGGTAGATTGTTTCTCAATATATTGTTTTCCTCCTCTTATTGTGGAATCTGAGCCAAGAGATGCTTCTATGACAGAATCCCTACCTTCTCAAACTGGTTTCCAGCTGCTCACTCTCAAGCCTGTGGTCCTTGCTCTCACTGACAAGAGCATCAACAAGTCCCTCATATTGTTGCAACAACAAAGGTTCTGAGGTGGAATACATGGCTTGGTACAGTTCAGCCAATTGATCCCGCAGTCTGAAAGAATATAGAGATTATGGACAAGCATCATTTCTCAATTTTACATATTTATAAAATCAGAGGGATGAACGCATAACGAATATCTACATATTACACCCACAGTCTGTTGTAACAGCTGTAATAGCAGGTGCAACTTTGTCAAACAATTCACACCAACCACCAGATTTACCTTCCTGAGAGGAGACCGGTTGCATCGTCCATCATGCTCTGGAACTCGTCCCAGGGTTTCCCTTGACTTTGAGGAGACGATCCAAAAGAGGCTAAATCCAATGTTTCAGAAACCTCTTGAAACCGTGACGAGAAATTGCTGTAATTGATACATCCATCTTCACTAGCGCCGAATTTGTTGAATAAAGTTTTGATTTCGTCTTCAGGCACATTCAGCTCTCGACAAACAACTGTAAAGTCTTCGTATTCAATCACACCAGATTTATTAATGTCACACGCTGAAAACAGTCTCTGGAGGCTGGGTTTGTCCATGACTTCGTAGTTACATGAAGTCCGCCTTGGGAAATAACCCCTTCTGTAAAATAAAATCGATAGGCTAGGTGCAATACGTGACCATTTGATCCCCACCTTTATTTGTGCAACCTTATCCCGCACCAGTGATCAGAATTTTTGCTCGTCACTCGAGTGGCCAGAAGTGTGAAGTAATGGAGGCGGTAATACTTTTACCACGCTAATTATCAACTCTATTCACAGGTAGATTGCAGTACAATCAAAAAGCCACTGATTGGCTCAGCCGGCCTGAAATGGGCGTGACTGCGCGTGCACACCGATTACAGCATTGGGGCCATGACATCAGACAGTGAGAATGTGCGTCACCTGTTCTTGTCAATTTTGTTTTACTGCTGTTAAAAATGTCATTGTTTGTACACGTTGTCATGCAACCCACATACTTTAAATATTTTTTTTTATTGAGTGGATGTAGGTCTCACAAATAAAGTTTGAACAAAATACATTAATTTACATGTATAAAACACTCATATATAAAACAGATTAAAATGAAATGTAGGTCAACAACATTTTCAAATAGTATATGATGTATTTGCACAGGGGTGGAGAATAATTGTATATCCATTGCTAGGGTGTGGCAAGGATTCTACCTATGACACCAAAGTAGACTATTTTCCTTTCAGGTGTGGACTGCACTCTTTATCAAGAATACTTGACTGCCTGCCATTGTTGCACTGTGCTCACACTCAGTAATTAACTCCACCCTACCGTGTGATATCCCTAGCCATACTTATTTTTACTACTGTGACAGAAACACCTCTACTAAAAAACACAGAACTACAATATTAGCTTATTTGTTTGACATGATTATGCAAGAATTAGGCTCACATAAAAAAAAAGACTGAACATGTTCAACAGGAACTTTCTGCGCTGTTCTTCGCATATGTTTTTATATGAGTCTGATGGAATGCGTCAGCAAACACTGTGCTCCACCTTAATGTGACTAATGTGTTGACAGAGGACACAGTCACTGTTAACCTTTCACTAATCAAACAACAGAGGGAATAAAAATGGCTCACACATACTACTTTAAAATAACATACCTATTACATTCCTTACTGTAATGACAGAAATCCCTTTTTACATTACAATAAATCTTTCTGAAAGTTGTCAATAATATTGTGGCCACACAGTGGCAGTGTAAGAGCAGAATCAGGCAAGTCTGGAACTACTTCTTACACCAGTACAGTATCTGGATCCATTTAGCAATGACTGAACCTTTATGATATAGACAGATTTTGAAAATTTGTTTTTGAATCAAGTGCAGCAATGTGACAAGCACGACTTGTGTCCTAGAAAGTCTAAATTGAGGCTATTCTCTAATTTCATGTGGCATTACAACTATATAGTTCATGAACCATATGAAGTAAACTAAATGTTTCCATTTATCTTTATTTGAGAAATTTAAATAAAGTGCTTTTATGTACAGAACAATAAAAACAACTGAAAGAGTAGTGATGTATAATATAAAAAAATACGGTTCACAAGAGCTTTTTACATTGGCAGCTCAATTTACAAAGCACTTTTACATACAAACTTACAAGACATGTTGACATGAGTCAGAGAAACTTGGTACACTGTCACAAATAGAAGGCTTGACTGAAGTTGTTCTTCAACTGACAGAGGTGCCTTACTGCAACTTATAACTGCAGTCTCAAAAACCTTATGTAAGGATATATTAATTTCGAGCAGTGATCAAACAAAAGAGATTTGTATGCTGCATGTCTGAACCTATTATGCTAGATATTCAGGCTGATTTTGTTCTGCATTCGGCTAATGTATTATTGAGTTTAGATAACTTTACTCAACTGATCCAAGCTGCCATTTCTTAACTTGCAATCTTTGTCACAAAACAAAAAATAATCATACATTTGAAATGTTCAGTTGTCAAAACAATGTTTCAACTTCTTCTCCTCCCATGTTTGTTACACTTTGAGTCTTTGAAACCCTGATGGAGTTCACAAGAGTTGTGTAGACATTAGCAGTATGGGATTTCTGTACAAGTTGAGACTATAATTCAATGGTGTTTGCAATAGTGTTTGCAATAGTGTCAACACAGAAATACATTGTGACTGAAGTTGAAGCCATTCTAACAGAGTTATTGTACTGATACTGGCCATAATCTAAAGGAATTCACTCAAAGTGTTGTAATAGTATTGTTCAGCATGCTCAGTAGAGTTCTACAGTCTATTCTGTCGTACCTATCATGCAGGTGATGCTGCTGCTACCTGGTTATCCATGTGATTAAGTAATGTCACAAGGACAGGAGAACACATTTAGTATCCCAAGAAGCACAACTCTTGATTCTTTCATTTTGCTTAAAGGCATGAAAAAATAAGTTGAAAACCTAATACATAATTCTCAACAAAATCCCCATCCGTATCCCAAACTAAGTCTTTCCAACATTCTGTGCAAAAACAACGCATTCTCAAGGTGTTTGCTGGTTCTGCACTTTCACCACAATGATACAACTTTCACCAGTCTTCTCAAATACAATACAAATGTACATTATATACAATCAGCCACCATGGCAGTCCTTTAGCAGTATGCTCTTTGGACAGCTACTTTGTCAATTGTTTTTGAAATTGTAAGTCCCTTGTATAAAATTCAATATCTAGAATAAACTTAAATAAAACAGTTTTACTTAGAAATTGTTTTGGAATACTTGTATCACTACATTCCACAATTCCACAATGTTGCAATAGTTCATATTTACCACAATTTTGCACTGACATAGCAACATCTTTGGAATATTAAATTGATATTCTTACATTTTAAATGTAGAAATATTATTTATTTCCAATCATGAACAGCTGAAAACATATACCTGTTACTGGGTATTGTAATGCCTGAATAAAAGTCCTCACTTTTGGATTATAAAATATTCTGCAGGTTCTATCCTTTAACAATATCGGTTTCTACAGTAGTTAAAAAAACAAAAACACATTCCTCCATTGACTGGTCCATAACCGCTGTGTGACCCTTTGCTCTATGTTAGTAAAACCCATTTTACAGTCATTAGTGTCATTAAACCAGAGGTGATGGTTGTAACTATGGCAGCTTTCATATGCACTACATTATGAATAGCCTAAGCACATGCTGTTTGGTACAGTACATGCTGAATCAGTCAGGCCCATTAAACACAAGACATTGATTTGACGTGACAGTTGTGTTGGATAGGATGAAAACAGAAGACGCATCATAAAAAAAAGTACTTTTTGGCACAACAGTCATTTTGTTTACATAAATTAACACATATGAGCTTGGTTGCCTCTGGGTGTGTGTCACAATCAACAACACTAAGAGCTCCATAGCCCACTGGCTGAGTTGTGTTGCCACACTCTACCTTTGGCTCTTCTAAGCTCTGCTGTCTACTGGTCTCTGAATCACAGGGCCAGGACAGAGCTATCTAAACAACATGGTGAACAGGTTTTTATAGTCTCAGTCCACTTTAACTTGGTGTCTGAAGTCACTGAATTTGGATTGAAGGAATCAGTTCCTGACTGACACTCTGAACTAGTCAGCAACCATTTTATACTGGGACTTCAGCCTAGCTACATCAACTCCAGGCCTAGTGATAGCCTCTATCTCATTCCCTCGCTCTATGACACAGAAATGGCTCAAAATCACTTGCATACTAAATTGTATAATGCCTCTCATTCTCTGTAATCAATAATGTGCTGACACCTATGTGCTTGCACAGTCTCAAGATGAGATTCTCTTTTGATGTGACCTTTCACCCTACTTCACATGATGTGCTTTGCATAGTCTGTCTGCTCCATAATGAACAATATGTTAATACCTGGTCTAGGGTCTTCCCCAATGACAGGGGTACATTTCAACCCTGTGAATGTCAATCTTACACATAACTTAGGCACCATATCCTCCAATACCTTGGGACTTACAAAACCCATCTAACTGCTCTCCATTTAAGCTCCTGGTGGAGCAGAGCAGAGCAGAGGGCCTCAACAAAACCTCTCCAGTGTTATGTTATTCTGTTGTGTGCTATTTTAACCTCACCTCATCCCAGGTGGTCACTACCTCTTTCATTCCTTCCTCATTGGTTCCTCAGCATGTCTCTCGGGTACTGCCAGCCTGTCTCTTGACCAGTGGATTCCATTCTAATGCCTGTCTGGTTATGCTGCATTGAGGTTTATCTACAGTTTAAACTGCCTTTAATTAATAGCAGTTACAATGCTGTTATAACTAAGTCATAGGCCTAATGATCTACTTACTATAGTGAGAATTAGAGGTTGTTTATTCCACTGCTATCCATGCACTGAGTCTGTCTAATGTCTCAGTGCAGGGCTAAGCCCATGCTAACTGTGGATGTAGGTGGGAGAGTTAAGGGTCAGTTCTTGACCCATAGAGTATCTCTCTACTTTCAATGCAATGCCAACAGAGCATTTGGACGGATTGAGTGGCAATGCATACAAACATGACTAAACCATATACAAACTGTTACAGAAGGACAATATCAGCTGTATGTGTCCTATACCCACCATGAGCATCATTCCACAGATTCAATAGTCTAAAGGCAATCTGTATCAGATTCTCTTCATTGTGCTTCAGATGCACTAGAGAAAGAAGAGTGACTAAACAAGGAAATGAGAACTGACCACAGGGACAAAATGAAAAAGACAAATGTGCAAAATCAGTGTAATGAAATGTCCCTCTGAGAAGAGGTTGACGGTTTTCAGTGTTCCCTCCTTTTGTGTTTTTCTTTTCTTTCACTTATAGTCCCCTCTTTCCTTACAGTTCATAGTTAGTCACTCCGCATTACAGTTTTATATCCTGCTCAAGTTGATCAAAGCTGTCCTCACACAATGGAGTCTTTGATCTCTGAGCCCAGTCTCACCCGAGGCCGCGGGCAGGTGGGCGAGATCTCGACAGTGCTCTCCTTTAAGTTTAGAGGCCTCGTCTCTGACTCCGAGAAGCTCTTGCTGTTGTCTGGTGATGAGCACTCATGTGGCGGCGTGTTGCAGATGTAGTTGTCATTGAGGGTCTGGTAACCCTTGTGGTCTGACACAGACACTGGCACTGTGCTGTTGCCATTCAGAGGCAGGTTTTCTGCCGGCTTCCCCACTATCCTGGGTTTCTTCTGCTGCATGTTGGGACACTCACCCTCCTTCAGCATGGACTTCATGCGGTCACGGTTCCTGTAAACCACAAACAGGGAGAAGACCACCAGGGAGAAGCCCAGCAGGGCACACACCACAATCAGCTCGTTCCAGTAGGTCTTGGTGTTGATCTGCGGGGAGCGGGTCTCTCCGGGTAGGATGATTGGCTCCTCCTGGGGGACAAGAGGGGTGCGTGAGTGGCCGATCAGGGTGGTACTCTCCTGCCTGGCCTCACCTCTCACACAGTAGTTGGCCAGGAGCTGCCTGAAGCCCTCCTCCACTGACCAGCACTCATAGGTCTCCTGTCTGTCAGCATGGGCCACCACCACTAGACCTCCCTCAGGACTGGGGTACAGGAAGTGACCTGCACCCTCACTGTACTCCCACTTCCTCTCAGCCAGGTTGGAGCGCAGCTTACAGGGCAGCACTTTGAATGTGTTGGCTGGGATCATTATCACCTGGCATGAAGACATCCCTGCAGACAACAAGAGGAAGGGCTTTTTCATTTTTCATTTGTGAAAGCAAGTTCATCCCAGGTAGTTCAAACAAACTGCATTATTATATCACTGTGTTAGCTGAGTAGGAGTGTGCTGAGAATGAACAAATTAAATGAGCTGGGTACGGATAATGACGGTAAGAGAACATTGGAATAAAATTGTCAGCAAAATTTTAATTTAAATGCAGCAGTCCCAGAGTAGATTACGGTGGTACAGTATAGAGCCAAAAGGATTTAGTCCAGCAGGAGCTGATGGTATGGTACAGTACTTACGTGTGGGTGGGGGTTTAGCAAAGCGAGGGCTGGGCTGTGTCTTGTTGCAGATAACTGATGTGTCTGCCTCGTCCACATCCTGCTGCCAGTGGCTGAGAACACAGGCAACAGTAAATCAGAGAAATGGGTGTCTCAGAACAGCTCTAACTGGCACTATCAATCTACACATAGAAGGTCTTGACAGACTACAGTGTTAGTCTGCACATACAGCATGTAAGCAGACAGCATAGAGCATTGTCCTGTATTGTCACTTTTTCTTTGGTGTACTCAGATGTTCTGGAAAGTTACCAGTCATTATGAGAGCTTAGCATCAAAATAGTTTATACCTATCTCTTACATGTTAATACAAGGCTAGTATCTATTTGATGAGTAACACCTACATGTCCATGAGTGGACCATGGAAATGTAAAGTATAATGGCTGGTGGTCTGGGGCAAACATACCTATCTGGTGGAGCCAGCCTGACATCCAGGCACTGCCTCCCTGTCCAGGCACAGTAAGGGTCTCTGGACAGGACACACTCTCCACAGCTCTGGTAGTTGGAGCAGTTAGCCACAGGGACCTCCACTAAGCCAGAGTAGGAGGACACAAACAGCAGGCCCTGTAGAGGAGAGGAGAGACCACCAGTCTGTCAGATGCCAGGGAGGAATAGCCCTAGGTCACGTATTCACATTCAGTTACCCCTCTCTAATATAATATCAACATCATACCCTCGACGAACCCAATGCTGGAGGAACAAACAGAGTAACTTCACAGAGTAACAGCACAGAGTAACAGCACAGAGTAACTCAGGACAAGATTCATGATGTGTCACACGCCGTTTACAACCCATCTGTTTTCAGTTCCCCTGAGAGGAAGTTGCATGCAATTATCTCAATGAACATGAGCTGAGCTCCCCTTTAGGCTCCGGCTCTCTTCACGGCTCATGGGACCCCTAAGCTGCTAGTGCTGACATTTAGTGAGCTCAATATTACTACCACTATGAGGACATGCTCCAGAAATAAACAGAGTTCCTGCTCTACACTCTGTACTGTACCTTCTCAGAGTCCAGTTCTATGTGTTCTACAGGCTGGGGGTCAGTGAAGAGCACCATCTCCTCAATGATGTGCATCTTGTTGTTGACATTAATGGCTTTGTGGAGTCTCCCGTCATCTGCCAGAGACATATGACAGAACAGTAGATGGTTAATGTCTGCTATAGCTCTGCCTCTCATACAGAACAGGAAAGGGGGATAAGTTCTGTCAGCTGAGCCTGTTTACAGTACCTGTTCCAATGAAGAGCACATTGTAGTGTTTGTGGATGACCTGGACCCGGTGGACAGCTATCTGGGTGTAGCGGACGCTGCGTTTCAGCAGGAGGGGCTGGCTGCGGATCACACTGTCCATCAGGAAGTGGTCCTTGACAAAGTTCAGTACCTTGTCAGGCATGTGCTTGGAGGAGGGGATGCCCTGGTCCCGGGCTGCATTAGTGATGCACTGTGGAAGGAACACAGGTAGTCTCATAAGCACACACTACACAACCATACTACTCCCCCATGCCTATCCCCATCAATATGTGCTTGTATCCTTCAGTTGATGTGGACCATGATAACGCTGCCAGGAAATGAAAGCAGCAGCACCTTTTTGATAACATCAGGCCTTCTGGGAAAAGGGCAGCCAGTGACAGCAGAGAGACAGATAGCTGCTTATGCACTGATGTTCAGTCCAGATTGGTGATGTGAGTAAGGCAGGCTAGAACACATCCGACCTGCACACACAAGGTTGGCTAAAGCTTACTGTAGGCTTCCCAATCTAAAAAGTTTGCGCATATATTATAACAACATTTTGTGACGTTTTTGGTGTTTGGCAGTTTTCTGCAGTTTTTTTTCTCAGGCTGTTCAAGCACACATTTTTTCCTTGAGGCTTGTCGAAGTTTGGTAGTCGAAGTTTACGCCCCTTCGTCATTGATTGGTCAACAGTAGATTATTCAATTAAGTTTTTGTTGTCTTTCAAAGACAGATGACTAGTTTTCATGTTTTTCACTTGAAAAATACTGCACCAAACATCTTGTTAAAATTACGTGACTAAGACCTCCTTGGCAGAAACGTCAAAATTAATTACAGATTTCTTGAGTTATTTTAGATTATTTCTGACTATTTTGAGGAAGCGTACTGGCTGATAAGGCGTTTCAAGAGGGACAAACCGCTTTTTTCGTTTTTCAAGCGAAGGTATTTTAAGGAAGTATGCGTGCACAGACTTTCACTTCGCCTAGCCGAGTTCTGCTAGGAGCAAACCGAACCTATGTATGCAGACACCTTTATTGCGTTTTTCGTACACCAGAAGTACATTCATTTCCAATGGAACGCTGCGTTTGCCTTGCAGCATTGCGTTGCAGAGGCAGTTGCAGTGTGTTCTGTGTGGTGCATACGTATGCATCAAACTGTATGTGTAAATGGGTTGACAGAAATGGTAGCAGAAGGTGAATGTTGAACTTTTGTTGCACACATATCTAGATGATGCTGCATACTATTTTGCGCAATGACACAGTCGGTGTGTTCAAAGCTCAACGCCTTAATCAAACCGATAGTATTATTGCGCAAAATAGTATGCAGCATCATCTAGATATGTGTGCAACAAAAGTTCAACATTCACTTTCTGCTACCATTTCTGTCAACTCGTTTACGCATACAGTTTGACACATACGTTCGATAAATCCAACATATGCACCACACAGAACGCACTGCAACTGCCTCTGCAACGCGATGCTGCAAGGCAAATGCAGCATTCCATTGGAATTGAATGTATTTCTGGTGTACCAAAACACAATGACGCAGTCGGTGGGTTTGAAGCGTAATGCAGTTTAGTGATACTGTGTCAGCTGTCCAGCAGAGGGCAGTGGAAACTAACTCACCGTTCCAGGCCGTGGCTCAGGGATAGGGTGGTTGTAGGTGTACCACTGCTGGGTCTCCCGGTTGACCTCCCGGTAACGGCCGTTGAAGGCCTTCTCCACCTGGTCCATGGTGAAGGCACACACTGCTGAGCTGCCAGAGGCCCCTTTATACCTGGGATAACACCACACAGGGGTTAGGCTACATCGCATTTCTCTTCCCCCAAATCATCCTATTCTTTACTCTGACAATAGTGCTTAACTAATATAAAGTACTTCATCAATAATATCTCCAATACACCATAGACGAACAGAGGGAATGGAGGTGTGGCTGTTTGCCCATGACTGGGTCAATAATAATCTGCTATAAACTGACAGTGAGCTGTTCTTGTATGGAGAAATGTTTATGAGGAGATGAGTGTAATACCAACCAACTCAGACACAGAATCTTTCATTACCCAAATCAATAGAAAATCCTATACACTCTTGCAAATGAACTGTATGTCAAAGTGACAAAGTGTTTCCTCACCACTGTGAAGTGAAGACCCCATAGAACACGGTGTTCTTCCAGTCTTCTGGGCTGGGCGTCAACACAAACATGTCCTGGATGATGTTGAAGGGGAAGCCATCGTCAGGCAGCGAACAAAGGAGCTGGGCTTTTAGGAAGGTGGTCCATTTCTTCTGCAGCACCCTCTCTCCTCCTTTGTCACCCTGTAATACAAATCAGAGCTGTTATAGTATATGGACCTGCGGTCATAGTAACCCAGTGTCCAGTAGAGGGCACAAGCACATACGTTTAAACTGTAAACCCAAAAGTTGAAATGATGAGAATGCATAATAATTAATATTGCACGAAATATTGGCCTGAGTGATGTCATGGCAACCAACTTGCCTAAATATTATTATGGTTTACATTCTGCCTTGTATACATGTTCTACACCTGTTGTATTCGGCGCATGTGACAAATACAATTTGATTTGATATATGTAATGATATGTCTGAAAAATCCTTCTCCCCAGTTGTTTACCTTGAAACGAAACAATGTACACAAACAAGGCACTGTTTGAACTGACATAAATGAGAAACAATATTGTAAAACTACCAGACTGAGTATAACAGATTGTGGCCATAACACAGCTCCCCTGGGGCAGTGGAGTTTTAGGTCAAGAAAACAATATAAAACATCACAACTGGATGGGAGGATAACACTGGGGCGCTGGGGAGGCCAAATGCTTTTCAGTGAGAGAGAAAAGGACACTGCTCACACACAATACCTCTCCACGGAATACTACCACTCTGAACCTGTGCCTGTAGCACTACCCTGCCTGGTGGGCTGTGGTCATCTATGGGATCATGATACTGGGTTGGCTTGAGATGCAAAAAAGGCAGCACAACTTTTCCATTAAGAAAGTATTAATTCACTTAGATCCCTTCAACCTCTGCATGAAATAGATTATTTGTGAGCCTTACAGCTTTGAATGCTGTGCCTATACTTGTAACAGATAGCTGGATGTACAGGGAATGTGTGGGGACATACAACTGAAAAAAGGGATATAATTGTCTGTTTACATTCACTTGAGTCTGTGGCTCAGAGTGCAGCAATTACTCCAATTCTTGTCTGGGACATAGATCTGAGGAGATTCAAAAGGCTGAGGGAGGAACGGCACTGTTCAGAGGACTAAAAAGAAACAAAAAGAAAAATAAGTCTAGTCTACATAACCCAGAGCCCTGTAAATTGTGCCTTCATCTGAGTCCCCCTCAGCCCAACATTAATCAGAGGAAATGACATCGGTGAATGGGAAAGGGAAATGACACGTGACTAATGCTGAGTTTCAGAAGCAATTACTTGCTGTATTAACCCAACCAGATAATGAGCTACATATATTCCCTGCTCTGCTCCCCTGGGTCTACCTAGTTATTATTAAAACCAGAGAGAGTGTGTACCTAAAGTCTCTCCTTCTGAATATTGGACAGAAAGCACTCAATTCATTAACCCCTTACATAAGCCTCCCTTTCCATCACAGAGGTACTCAGGGCCAGGTAGAATTTCCAGAGTTTCAGTAACAACAGTAATACCAGTAATACCAAATCTTGTTGTATTGTTCTGTTTTCTGCACAGCTGTATACATCCACAATGCTCCACCCATCAAAAGTGTTATTTTCAGTATTATTGTAATTCTGTATTTTTGACAACACCTTGTCTAAAGTTTCACCAACACATATTGTACCACCCAAACCTTTACAAGGGGAATTCCTTAACAAAGACACTATAGTGTAAATAAGAATTTGTTCTTAACTGACTTGCCTAGTTAAATAAAGGTTAAATAGTGGCATGTATGGTGTGAGGATAGGAAAGACCAGGAGCTGTAGCTAAGATACTCTGTACCCGGAGTTCAAATCTCCCCTGTGATAGCCCTGCACACCACCATCCTGTGTTTTATTTTAGAGGAGAATCAAGGGTGTGTCCTGCAGCCTCACTCTGACAGTGGCAGACACACTGGTTTCCATTTGACTGCCAATCAGTGTCAAGACAAACACCTGCAGACAGCTACTGTAGAGAAGCCGTTCTGCTTGCAGTCTGCAGAGCCTGGGATGGATAGGCAGTCAAAATCCTATTACTAGGAGATGTCTGCTGCCTGTTTGAAAAATATAAACAAGGAAAAATATCCCTCCATTGGAACTGCAACGTATGGGGCCTCTTAAAATGCAAAACATGCCTGTCATTGCTAAGTGTAGACTGCTTTAATGAGTTTAGCTCATATGGCCGAGGTGGAAATTAAATTAAAAAGGCACAGACGCAATTGAAAATGACTTGTGAGCTGGCCCCAAAGCAGAGCTCTATTTCACATCTCATCATGGTTAATATTTTCGAATTAAGTTTGATAATGGGCTTTGGTGGATTCATTACGTTTGTTTGCTATATGCGGGAGGACAACGTGCTGTCTGCAGGAGCCTTGGACTCAGTCACACAGCTCCTCCCTTCACTGTATGCACCTCACTTGGTCCACTCTGGCAGCACTGCAATGGTACTGTTTATCTCTTCATAAAACTAAAAAGCTAAGAAATGCAATATTACAAGGTGCACATCAGCAGCAAGCTTTCCCGGAAGATTGACTGCTGGAAATGCAAATTCTGGGAGGAGGGGTGTTGACCATAAAACTGTCTAGTATTTCACACTGTGTTTGGATTGACCATAATACAGCTGGGATAAACAAGAGGCCATGACCATGCTGTCAAAGTGAGAGGTGATTCTCTAGTCACAGAGAATAGAAGAGGTTCATTAAATTATTGTGGAGAAGAAGTATCACTTAACAATAGACTGGTGGTATAATGAATGGAAACCATTCCTTTCAGGTTGAAATTCTAGAAACGGAAATAAAGTTGTGGAAAAGGAGAAGGCATTTTAGGTCTGCTGTGAATCCTAGCTGAATGCTAATATTTGCTGAAATGTGATAAGAGTGGAGTGGAGGAGGAGGGCCCAAACAGGGGGAACTCACAGGAGGAATGTTTTTCTGTAACACGAGCCTGTGTCCCTCCCAGACTGTGAAACCAACCGCTCCCACCCTTAAATCCCCCACCTCACACACACACACACACACACACACACACACACACACACACACACACACACACACACACACACACACACACACACACACACACACACACACATACTTCTCCCACTCTGATAGAGTCCAATAAAGTGTGTGTAGACGGGTGGGGGTGGAGGAGAGCCTTGCTCAAGGGGAAAATACGCTCTTTAGACAGGCCATCTCCGTTGAAGCGTCACTCACCTTACACACGCGAGCAATGCGTGACACAATGGTGTTATCAAAAAAATCAAACTCCTTTCCCGCCTCGCTGAAGAAGAAGTAAATCTTATCGTCATCGCCCACTGGGTTGCCTTTGGGCAGGCTCTCCTGGATGTAGGCAGAGCCCACAAAGGCTGGGTCTGTAACAATAACAAAGAAACCACAGGTTGAAATGTCAACCTAGAACTATGCATTCTAGGACATGGACATGCCTTTTACATCCACAAACGTCTTCTGGTGATTCAGTGATTTTGCAACAGGAATTGTGGTAACCTCTGCATGTCGATATTGACAAAATACCATGGAAACACCTATAGTTCTTCAAAGCTATGGTAATTGTCATTTATCATGTCCAGCCTGAGGTCTTCAAATACTGATTGTATGTTTAGGGGAAAACTATTTATGTGTGTATGTTTACCTTATCAGCTAGCTACATGTACAAACAGTAGATCATGACATTAAGCAGCTACCAGACAGCTTGCAGCCTGAAGACCTGAACTTACCTTGAAGCCAGTTCAAGGAGTTTTCTGTTTTTAGGGCAGCGCCTTGGCCCAGGCTCTTGTAAATGATAGGTTCATTTCCTTGGAAATTACTGACCGTACCAGCATACAGTTCTCCATCTATAATGTAAGGAAGTATAAGATGAAGACAAACAATATCTTGACCAAGAGAAGGAGCCTCTGTGTCACTCATAACAAACCCTGGAATCTAGAAGGAAAGGGTTGTCTGCTACTATATTTACAGTATGGAACACACTAAGGATGGTAAAATATACATTGCAGCTACTGTATATAAAATATTTTATCAATGATAAATCTGAAATTAAGTATGTCTACATTATGTCTTTTATTTGTATGTATATATTGAATTATATACAGTATGTATTGTGTACACAGTGTTATGGAAGCCAAACATATTTCCCTGACAGTAAATAAGTGACCCATATAGTGAACCTACCGGCCATGATGGCAGTGGACTTGTACTCAGGGTTGAAAGGGCAGCGGCTGCGTCCGTCCTCTGTCACTATCTCTCCAGTCTGGCTTCTCACCAGGGTGAAGTCAGCTGTGTTCTGGAGAGGACCCAGAGAGAAAGAGAGCTTTGAGGAGAAGTAGGGCTGTAATCTACACTGACACTGCCCAATGCCTGCTGGCCACTCTGTTCGCTACTACAGCACTGAGGCACAAATGATGGGGTGGGAACCACTGTGTGGTCACAGCCGGTCACTTTGTGGTAGGTCAAACCACGGTGTGTGGTTTGATGTGGGTGTCTCTTGTGTGTGTTTGCAGGTGGGAGGAGTTAGCTAAATCATTTTTGCCATTTAGCTTCAGCGGCTGGTGTGCGACTGTGGGAAAGTTGGTTTGACTTTGGATAGCCTATCTCTGGGGATGTTTAGGGATCGTCAATAAATTACACAATGTAAATGGGACAATATGTTCATGTTGCACAACTTTTAGTTGTCTCATTAAATGCTTTCAATATTTGTAAATTATATGAATTTCTAAAATGTATAGTTGGTTTGAGGTTTTCAAGTCATTGACATTTGGAGCTATTGACCTTTTAAAATATTGTCCTGTGTACATTGTGCAATTTACCGATGGTCCCTAACTAGCCCTATAGGGATATCGAATGTCAAACTAAATTGACCATGGGCATTACAATCGGGTCGCATGCAGCTATGCTCCGAATTTATGATTTTGTGGGTGCTGCCAGCTGTGGCAGGATTGAAATAAACCCAACCCAAACTGTTACGGTACCCTTCATTTTTTCCATTATCTCGCAAATCTCCGTTTTGGACAAGACTGACTTTATGACCAAAATGATCCTATTTATACTTTGTAGTACATTGTTACACTATAATAAATATTCTGACTCATATCTATGCCACATAGGCCATTTTAAAACGAGAAGTAGCTTTTTAGGGGCCGTCGCTCTTTAATTAAATATTATTATACGATTCCTTTTAGAAGTGATCTGGTGATGGGGATGATGAGGAGTGCTGCTTACAGAAGGAATGGACATAACTTTGTCTGTATACTGTACTTTATATCTCTCTGTGTGGGCTGAGACTCAGTGGTTGTGATAAGAGAGACAGAAGGGAGACTTGGGAGGAGGAGGCACTCGGGAATCCTGGTTCACAACCTAAAGTTCAGTCAAGAGACTTTCCCTCCTCCTTTAATGTTTTCCCTCCTCCTTTAATGTTTTCCCTCCTCCTTTAATGTTTTCCCTCCTCCTTTAATGTTTTCCCTCCCATATTAAAGTAGTGCAGAGGGAAAGGGACAAACATTTGAGATGTTCTTTGACTGTCAATATTTCTAAATGGAAATGTCAATGTTATTCTGAATTGCCTCAGAGACTTGTCTGCTCCATCAGCTGAACACATTTACAGATGCACTTCCTCTCAAATCTGTGTGTTCTAAAACATCTTCATTCAACCCAGAGCCACACATGCTCACTAAGCATCTGTAAGGGGTATAATTGGAATACACTGACTTCAGGATAAATCAAATGCAGTCTCCAGGGTGAAAATCACACGAAGAAGAAAAGCTGTACCTTGATTGACAGAGTGAATTACATGGCTAATTACATCTCTCTACAGCACACAGACATGGGGATTATCTCTACAGCACACAGGCATGGTGATTATCTCTACATCACACAGGCATGGTGATTACCTCTACATCACACAGGCATGGTGATTATCTCTACAGCACACAGGCATGGTGATTATCTCTACAGCACACAGGCATGGTGGTTATCTCTACATCACACAGGCATGGTGATTATCTCTACAGCACACAGGCATGGTGATTATCTCTACAGCACACAGGCATGGTGATTATCTCTACAGCACACAGGCATGGTGGTTATCTCTACAGCACACAGGCATGGTGATTATCTCTACAGCACACAGGCATGGTGGTTATCTCTACAGCACACAGGCATGGTGATTATCTCTACAGCACACAGGCATGGTGATTATCTCTACAGCACACAGGCATGGTGGTTATCTCTACATCACACAGGCATGGTGATTATCTCTACATCACACAGGCATGGTGATTATCTCTACAGCACACAGGCATGGTGGAATTGTATGCTGTATGCTGCAGCAGAATAAGAAATCAAACACTTACTATATATGCACAGATTGGACTGAAGGCGTACGTTCCACACACGTATAGATGGGTACTGTTCACACGCAGTAAAATCTTGATGTAATTGAAGCAATCCGTCTGCATTAAAGACACAGGAGAGGAGAGAGCATCGTTAATATGACTCATAGGTTCCCACAAACTATTCTGGAGGGAGAGTTACTCAGGTTGAGTGGAGTAGCTCATTAGGCGACTCTCCAAGCATATTCCCACATTACTTGGCCGGAATTAATTGCTTTCAAATAGCCTGGCAGGGCTGTTGGCAGCAGTGTGACAAATGTCTGAGTGACTGTTTCAAACAGAAAATGTATTAGAGTGTCTTCATCAAGATCCTGGTCTATGAGCCTCTGTCCCCCCAACCAACCAATCAATCAACCATAAATGAATCATACAATATGTCCTTCTGATAATATACTTCCCACAGTATTGAGGTTTCACCACAATCACAGGGGGTTGGTTAGATGGGATGCATAGCAATTTATCTGGCTATAAAAAAATCACTCAGGCCACTACTGCTGAATGGATATGTACTTAAATTAAAACCTCCACTGCCTGACTGAGTTCATTTTCTGTACTACGGAAAAAAAAACAAGCCTAAGGACTGGAATGGAAGTGTAAGTATTGTCACTAGAGTTCCACACATGCAGCACAGTGTCCTCACCTGTAGGTCTTTGCCTTTGAAACTGCACTCGTCTCTCTTCCTTTCCGGGGTGCTCCATGTAAGCTACAGGAGAGGAGAGTACAGGTGTCAGACACATTACTAAGACACAGCATAGAGATGTAAAGAACGTTGCTGCCGAGCACTGTCAAAAAGCAGTGGTGTAAAGTACTTCAGTAAAAATACTTTAAAGTACTACTTAAGTAGTTATTTTGGGTATCTGTACTTTACTTTATATTTATATGTTAGACTACTTTTACTTTTACTCCACTACATTTCTAAAGAAAATAATGTACTTTTTACTCCATACATTTACCCTGACACCCACAAGTATTCGTTACATTTCGAATGCTTAGCAAGACAGGAAAATGGTCAAATTTACACACTTATCAAGAGAACATACATGGTCATCCCTACTACCTCTGATCTGGCGGACTCCCTAAACACAAATGCTTTGTTTTTAAATTCCGTGTGCCCTGGCTATCCATAAAAAATAAATGAATAAATAATTTGTGCCGTCTGGTTTGCTTAATATAAGGAATGTGTAATGATTTATACTTTTACTTTTACTTTTGATACTTAAACGTATTTTGGCAATTACATTTACTTTTGATACTTAAGTATATTTAAAACCAAATACTTTTAGACTTTTACTCAAGTAGTATTTTACTGGGTGACTTTCACTGTTACTTGAGTCATTTTCTATTAAGGTATCTTTACTTTTACTCAAGTATGATTATGGGTACTTTTTCAACCACTGTCAAAAAGAGCCGTGTCCGCAAGATGTCATACACCATGTAAGTTATATAATTCACACATCTTCACCCTTGGGTTACTGTTCATGCATGCACGCACACACACATGCACGCACGCACGCACACACACACACACACACACACACACACACACACACACACACACACACACACACACACACACACACACACACACACACACACACACACACACACACACACACACACACACACACACACACACACACACACACACACACACACACACACACACACACACACACACACACTACAGTACAGCACTGTGGTGATGTGTATCTGAGAGCAGAGGGTTATTACATACAACCTCAAAAAATACAAATGTTTCTATATTCACACACAGACACACACTCGTGCCCACTTACATTGCGTTGTAGTTTGACTCTGCTGATATCAGAGAGGTTGAGGGCGAAGAGCTCCTCTCGTGCTCCAACATAGAGCATGTTATCTTCCTTACTGAGGAGCAGAGAGGTGTAATTGAAGACTCCATCCACAGAGAATCTTTTGGCTGATCTCTCCTTTGCATCTGGGGAGAGAGGAAAAACAGAAAGAGGATAATAAATATTAACCTTACTGCAGTGGGCTAAATCTGGGTCACAAAATGTTTCTTGTTAGTCTTAAACAAATTTACTTTGAAACAAAAGTATACACCTCACACACATGGTTATGGTCTTTAAAAAAAGAAGACACCTGTACCATGTCAGATATAGAGCTGAAATACATTAAATGTTGAGTTTGCATACCAATGTTACACTTTATAGACATCACAGAAGACTGAAATATAACCAAAACGTTTGACATAGAAACACCAGATTTTCTGCACATGTTTTTGTTGTTATATTAATATTAATAACATTCCATCCATGAGGCCACTAGAGGGAGATTTGGTCATTTGACTGCAGGAAAGGGCTACCAAACAGAATGCATTACTGCAATATGAGCCTGCAGAAAGCATTCAAAGAGCCGTCTGGGAAAGAATGGGCAAGAATGAAACATCAAAACTGCAGTGTGTGTGTGTTTGTGTGGTCACATAACATGATGAGCAGGATGAAGACAGATGTTGGGTCTTAATCAGAGTCACCAGCACACCATGTCAGTACTGATAGTGCTCCTTCAGGCTGTATCTTTGTTCCCATGACAACAACATTGTCTGGCTTAGCAGGCTGTCTCTTTCACTGCTGACTCCATCGCTACATTGGAGCTATAATAGGAGAGATGGACAGAGCCTGGCCTCCTGTGTGTGTGTGTGTGTGTGTGTGTGTGTGTGTGTGTGTGTGTTTGTGTGTGTTCAGTTAACAGTGTACATTAGCAGCCTCCAGTCCTATCACCCTCTCTCATCACCTCTGGAGTGGCCTGCAGAGAAACAGAGTGGGAGCCGGCACCCAATCTGTCTCTCACCATCCTGACACCCCTTCAAAAGTCCTCACTCTGCCTGCAGCCTGTAGCCACGTGTCTCATCATTGACTCTCTCTCTAAGCCTTCAGCGTTGGTGTCAAAGCTCCACATTCAGCACACTGTTGCAGAGTGGAGGTCTTCTGAACTGGCCAGGGTCAAACACTTTGTCTTTACGCCAGTCCAACATTAACAACATGGAGAACATTCTGTCATGCAAACAACGCCTACTAAGTGATTCTCAGAGGACATTACTGCCTTACGGATTATAAGCCCAATATTTAACGATTTATAGTTTTATCTTATCAGAGAAGATACAGTATACCTAGGCTACCTCTACATTTCAACACAGAAACACATTTTAATATTTAATATTTTTTCCCACAGGTTCTATGTATTCTGAGTAGGTAGCGTGTGGTTACCTCCCGGCCTGCTAACCCCACCACAGAGGGCAGAAGGTGTGAAGAGAGGGTTCCGCTTCCCCAGGGGAAACTACAGGCTAATAGCAGTGCATCAACGCAGCAACAAGGGGCCTTTTTAACATAAATTCCTGCTGCAAAACAACAAGAGGATCCTCTCTAGTCTCTACATTGCAAAGACCCAAGCCCACCAAGACTGCTCCCTCTCGGTCTATGATTACAGGATGTAGTATGATTAGCGCTCTGTGCTAGTGCCATTTACCCTCCTTCTTTCTCTCCTCTCCTCCATCTTCCCTCTCTCTCACCTCATTTCCTCTTCTCTCTCTCTCTCTCTCTCTCTCTCTCTCTCTCTCTCTCTCTCTCTCTCTCTCTCTCTCTCTCTCTCTCTCTCTCTCTCTCTCTCTCTCTCTCTCTCTCTCTCTCTCTCTCTCTCTCTCTCTCGCTCCTCTCCTCCCTCAGAGCTTTGGGCAAATTTAACAGTGATTTACCCAGGCTAAGACAAAGGCTGGAGCTTGAACCAAAACAAGAGGTTAGAGGGATTTCCACAGAGGAGGATATCTACACAATTACTCTCTTGAGTCAGATCACCACTGTCATATTCTCCAAGCACTGCTGAGGGAGGCACAATGAGGCGGGTAATTGTGTACCATTAAGGGAATCCATGTGGGTTTAAATAGTGTGATGCTTTCTTTTTATAATTTCAGCCAGTCATTAGTCAGGTTTCTATTTCCATTGTGTCAAGCTGCAGTGGTGATGTTTGTATACAGTGTTGTGCATAGCCTAACAATACTCAACATGGTTGTCCATTTACGCTGCATGTCTGCCCATTCCATAACATTGTGGTCAGTATTACAAGGATCTGTGTGTCCAGAAGAAAATTATTTCCATGCATCAGATGGCTTGCATTGATTAATTATTCTTGGAGCAAATTAAAATCATTGCTCATAAATCCAAGATAATAATCTGGACTGATCCAAGAAAATGAACCTATAAAATGTATCAACGATTTGAGCAATTAAACACATTTCCAGTAAATGGTAACATATGGAATGTGAGGCTTTTGGCAGAATAAGTGCAGCTGCGAGGAGTGCTATTTGAAGAATGCTTAATAACATCAGTTCATCTGGCACAAAATGTATCAAGAAAAGTCAAGGGGGGGGGGGGGGATGGGGGGTAAAATATATTGTATAAAGATATAATACAAGATATAATAAATACATTTTTACTGAAAACAAGTTAGGAGTGGGGAGTCTATCTGCCTGAATGTACTGGTGCTGCTGTTAAGGATTCTGTTTAAAGGTGCTATTACTAAAATGATTTTTTTTTATTTCGCCTTTATTTAACCAGGTAAGCCAGTTGAGAACAAGTTCTCATTTACAACTGCGACCTGGCCAAGATAAAGCAAAGCAGTGCGATAAAAACAACAACACAGAGTTACATATGGGGTAAAACAAAACATAAAGTCAAAAATACAACAGAAAATTTAGGAGGTAAAGATAACATGATTGCTGATCTCAAAGGGACAAAATATGAATTGCAAATAAAATACAATTTCTAGCCCTGGGATGACAAACCCCAATAGTGAACTGGAATAACTGTTGGTCAGTGTCTGTCTGTAGACTGTCTCCCCCAGACACCATACATACAGGCAGTCACCACAGTCTCTTTCAGACAGACTCCACTCTATTGTTGTTAGAGCGTCTGAGGTTGACTCCTGGGGGCCATCCCATGACAACGCAGGCAGCCATGGAAACGCTATGCTGTAGTGTTCTCTGGGAAGAGAAGAGGTCTGGCCTGTTTAGTGTTCAGAGGAAGCAGAAGCACTCAAGAGCTGCTAGTTTCTTCTGGAACTGGGGAGACAGTGGGGTGTCTGCCGGAGCTAAATAAGGGGAGGGTGTTAGGGAGGGCAGGTAAGTTGGCACAGTGTAACAAATTAATAGGCACAACATACTGTATCACAACTAGCGTGCCCTCACCTTGTTGAGCCCCTTCTCCCTACACAGCATGGCCTGTGCCCCGGCAACCCAGAGCTCCACAGTTACTTTATCGATGGGACATCTCATTATTGGGTCCCACAATGTCAATGACAAACAAGGGAAATCAAGCTAATAGAGGCTGGGTTCAAATAGCAATACACTTACGCTGGAGAGGAGACATGGCTATCTAGGCTAACAACCTTGCACGTGTGCAAAGGGAACTGCATTGACAGGGGTTGTTTTCTGCTATCACTGCGAGGTTTGGCACTGTTTTGAACATTCATTTAGATAGGCACCAATGTTGTCCTTGGACTGAGTCTATCACAGCTCCCAGTCTCCGTTTCACAGACAGGCTCAGAGTACATTCAACACAGTCCTATTTAACCTGCTGGCTCTGACTGAAAGACACAGCCTCCGCCTGACACAGCTGCCAGTCACACATTTCTCTTCCTGTCAGTGTACCAGCTCTCTCACCGTATCGCTATTTCCAGGCCCACGTCTGTCCGTCCTTCCATCCATCCCACACCCTCAGAGAGAGCAGATTTGTGTGGCTGGGAGCACTTCCTGTGTGACCCCACAACCAAACCACACATACACAACAGTGCTCCTTCAGCAGGACACACAATAAGATGCAGTGAGGGGGGGTGGCTCAACCACGGGCAGCTGTAAGCAATATGAGATCATTAAAATTATTTTTGCAAATGACACTGCTAAATGGATTGTAATATCCACCCTGCCTTGTTCACTAATCCATTTAGGGGCAAATTAATTATGTGGGCTTTTAGGGAACCCTAGTCTACATTTTGTTGCTGTGGATTTCCCAACGGCTCTGAGTTACAACAGCACAAAGTTAATTAGAAGCACAGAACATCCCGTCTAAAAGGCAAATGTGGAGTAATCTGTCATTCAGTCAGGGAGATCCAAGTGCTTCATTTTGTAGGGCATCCAACTACGGCAGCAGCCTGATTCACTAAAAGGCCTCTCCTATGAAGGGGTATTGGCTTTCACAGCTGTGGGTTGAGAGGTTTGAGGTATGCGTTCCCCATTAGAGACAAATGTTGTTATTGTTTACTTCAATGATGCAGAACTAGCGGGAAACAGTGATGGCCACTGTCAGAGCCGTGTGGATCTCTAGTACACATCACTGGATGGCAATGGGACAATATGCAGCAGACTGAACCGCTTTTAAATAGGGCAAGATTCTGTTTATGTATGTTTTAGAAATCTAACAACAAAACCAGTATCCTAATAGAGGCCTTCACTGGTGAAAAAGAGGTAGGAGAAAAACATGATGAGCACTCTTTCCATTACTCAAATCCTCACCCTTCCTCCCAATCAAGAATTGCATTATTTGAGCAAATAGATTACGCTAAAATAAGTGACAGCTCCCTACAGCTGCAATAAGATACGCTATCTGTTCAAACAGTCATTAATTTGGTGCCTGTCATAACAGCAGATGACGTGGAAACAATCTCATCCCTCTTCATTGAGATCAAGCAGCATGCTATAGAACCCTGTTGGTGCATCTTGAAGGGGATGTCTGCTGCCCCATTTCCAGCAATCTGTCTATAAACATAGCCTAGATTCTCCTGTGGAGGAACCCATGAAGATACTTCTATGTCATTGGCAGCAGGAGGCCACTTTGGACAAAAGGGCTGTGCCTTCTGTAAGCAGGGCAGAACAAGCGTATCAGCAGCAGAGAGCTGGGCACAGCCCCACAGCCACAATTACAGCCTAGCAGTGCAAACGTTAATCTGATGGAGCTGGACCTATGCTCACAATTAGAGAGAGCACAACTCCACAGCCAAAACACTCTGGAGCACAGGTCTCAGCAGCACCACACGCCATACAGAACATGTCTGTGGAACTACATAAACTAACAGGGCCTCCACAAGATTCAAGAGCTTATAGGGTTTTCATTAAGATGATCCAAAGATATACACAGGCCACTTTGGCCGTATCTCAGTAACAAATAATTGTAAGCAGATGATCAGGCCAAAGCTATTTCATAGGTAACTGTGATTTAGCCAAAAAAGGATAGCTGTGATGTGAAAGCCATAGGAGGAAACTTTTGAACCCATGCATGAAAGGTATCTGTCCAGGAAGACCAATGAAATAGGTAGCTTAAACAAATGCAGATACCAGAACTGAAAAACACTAACATTTGCATTGTGTTAAGAGTTTTGCAGAGAAGGTGGAGTCGTAGTGGGAGTATGCTGAGTGAGTGGGGTTAATCGAGGATTAGGCTATAAGCTTTGTAAGGTGAAGTCATGGTGGGGTTTACAAGAGAGGTTAGGGAGAAACAAGGGGGTGGATGGCAGTGAGACTGTTTCACCACAGCCAGACTAAAGAGGACAGAGTATAATAAGGGGCTTAATGGTGTTTCATATGCCTCTGAATCTTTCTGCCCAACCTGTAACAGACTCACTGCCTCTTCATCTCACATCTCCACACCTATCTCATGTCTTTATCAGCATGCAGACACACACACGCACACACGCACGCACGCACACACACACACACACACACACAAACACACACACACACACACACACACACACACATGCACGCACGCACACGCACACACACACACACACGCACACACACACACACACACGCACACACACACATATACACAAATCTGTGTCATCACCATACTTGTTCTTACAGGATCCTCTGTTTTGACTTTGTGCACACTGAAACCAGGCGGTTACTTTTAGTCATGTTCCTTTTCAGTTGGATCTGACCCAATGTAAAAGAACAGATACAGAACATTCAATAATCCAACATGTTGTTCTACTCACAGAGGAAGTGGTCACACCCCAACTCTTGGGAAACAGTACCAGGAACCCCTAACACAGTAAGAACAGAGCAGCTCTTCCCGCTTTCTAGAAACCACTTTCCCAATGGGGACAGACTGAGCTAGGAGCAAGGTCAGTTCACAACTTCCCCTATCATCCCATCTAATCCTATTCTATGTGGACAAACAGCAGGAAGACAAAACCCACCACAGACCTTGTTCATTGTGGAGGCACACACTTGACATCAATTGAGCTAGAGTGGGAACTGAGTCAACCCAATGCTCTGGGACCTGGCAGCTTGCATGAGTAGTATGCTGCGGAGGTGAAAAAGCAACATGAACTATGATTGATAGAATGGTGCATGGCCGTGGTAGAACAAAGGCAGAGAAAGGGGCAGACATCAGATCCACCAGGAGATTCATTGGGCACTCTGTGAGCCAGCTGTTTGTTTAGGGAAGGGCTTGGGTCTTGGCTCTCTATGCTTAGCAGGAGATAGGCTAGAGCTCCAAATGGTAGCATGAAGAAAACACCAT